TGCTGGGAACACCTGGCAGAAGAACCTGTCAAGACGGTCTTCAACTTCCACCTCCGGCAGAGCATTGACCACGTCCCGAGAGCAGTGGGGGACATTGACTCCCAGTGGGCCTTGTTCCACTCTGCGATCGTTGGGGCGGCTGTTGCTACCTGTGGTCGCAAGGTGGCCGGTGCCAGTCGTGGTGGCAACCCCCGTACCCGCTGGTGGACACCAGAGGTTCGGGGAGCCATCAGGCTGAAGAAGGAGGCCTACAGGGCGTGGCTGGTCTGTGGGTCTCCGGAGGCAGCAGACAGGTACCGGATAGCCAAGCGGGGTGCAGCAGTGGCAGTTGCCGAGGCTAAATCTCAGGCATGGGAGGAGTTTGGTGAGGCCATGGAGAAAGACTATCGATCGGCTCCAAAGAGGTTCTGGCAAACTGTCCGGTGCCTCAGGAGAGGAAGGCAGCAACTCACTCACACTGTTTACAGTGGGGATGGGGAGCTGCTGACGTCAACTGGGGCTATAGTCGAACGGTGGAAGGAATACTTTGAGGAGCTCCTCAATCCCACTTACGCACATTACGAGGAGGAACCACAGCCGGGAGACCTGGGGGTGGACTGTCCGATCTCGGGGGCAGAAGTTGCTGAGGTAGTCAAACAACTACACAGCGGCGGAGCCCCGGGGGCAGATGAGGTTCGTCCTGGGTATCTCAAGGCTATGGATGTTGTAGGGCTGTCGTGGTTGACACGTCTCTGCAACATTGCGTGGTCATCGGGGGCAGTTCCTGTGAAGTGGCAGACCGGGGTGGTGGTCCCCATCTTTAAGAAGGGTGACCTGAGGGTGTGTTCCAACTATAGGGGGATCACACTCCTCAGCCTCCCTGGAAAGGTCTACTCCAAGGTACTGGAGAGGAGGGTCCGATCGATAGTTGAATCTCAGATTGAGGAGGAGCAATGTGGTTTTCGTCCTGGCCGTGGAACTCTGTGGACCAGCTCTATACCTTTGCAAGGGTGATGGAGGGGGCATGGGAGTTTGCCCAAGCAATCCACATGTGTTTTGTGGATTTGGAGAAGGCTTATGACCGTGTCCCCAGGGGCACCCTGTGGGGGACGCTCCAGGAGTATGGGGTGGGTGGCTTTCTGTTAAGGGCCATTCAGTCCCTTTACAAGAGGAGCGTGAGTTTGGTCCGCATAGCCGGTAGTAAGTCGGACCTGTTCCCGGTGGGGGTTGGACTCTGCCAGGGCTGCCCTTTGTCACCGGTTCTGTTCATTACCTTTATGGACAGAATTTCTAGGCGCGGCCGTGGTGTGGAGTGTGTCGAGTTTGGTGGCAGGAGAATCTCGTCTCTGCTTTTTGCGGATGATGTGGTCATCAGCTTCATCCAGCTCTGACCTTCAGCTCTTGCTGGGTAGGTTCGCGACCGAGTGTGAAGCGGCTGGGATGAGGATCAGCACCTCCAAATCTGAGACCATGGTTCTCGACCGGAAAAGTGTGGCTTGCCAACTCCGGGTCGGGTGAGAGGTCCTACCTCAAGTGGAGGAGTTTAAGTATCTCGGGGTCTTGTTCACGAGTGAGGGTAGGAGGGATCGGGAGATCGACAGACGGATTGGTTCGGCGTCTGCAGTGATGCGGACGCTGAGCCGGTCTGTCGTGGGGAAGAGGGAGCTGAGCCAGAAAGCCAGGCTCTCGATTTACCGGTCGATCTACGTCCCAATCCTCACCTATGGTCATGAGCTTTGGGTAATGACTGAAAGAACGAGATTGCGGATACAAGCGGCCGAAATGAGTTTCCTCCATAGGGTGGCCGGGCTCAGCCTTAGAGAAAGGGTGAGGAGCTCAGACATTCGGAGGACTCGGAGTAGAACCGCTGCTCCTCCAGATCGAAAGGAGTCAGTTGAGGTGGTTTGGGCATCTGGTCAGGATGCCTCCTGGACGCCTCCCTGGGGAGGTGTTTCGGGCATGTCCTGCCGGCAAGAGGCCCCCGGGTCGACCCAGGACACGTTGGAGAGGTTACATCTCCAATCTGGTCCGGGAACGCCTTGGGGTCCTGCCGGAGGAGCTGGTGGAGGTGGCCGGGGAGAGGACGGTCTGGAGCTCCCTAGTTGGGATGCTGCCCCCGCGACCCGGACCCGGATAAGTGGAGGAAGACGACGACGAAGTCAGAATCAAAACATGTCATTTGTGTTTGTTTTTCTAAACATGTTAATTCTGTAGTCAGGACTTTCAAGGGACACTATGCAACTTTTTCATGTGTTAAAATGATCCTTTACAAGGTTAATGAAAAGAATAACACACTTGCAACTTCAGAGTATCCGAAACACTCCCCACAGCAGTAACGCTTTACAGCAATCTAAGTTTATACCTCAGGACAGATGAGCTACATCTGGTTAGCATTCGTTTAAACATTTTCATCGGCTGAGCCTCGGAAGAAACAAAACATTTATCTGATGAAGCTGCTGAGCAGCTGTCAGCCAGTTGGGGCTCTGGGCTGCAGTCCTGTCAGCTAGCGGGTCGTAGCTTGTAGGGTAACCTGCCCGTTTGTGATCACCCAGCACTCTGATGTTTGGCCTTGCCGACACACCACAGCCTTTCTCAGTGGTCACATAATTCCTCCTTTTAGGATCTTTGTCAGTATTTACCAGGAACCCTGTTCGTCATAGTAAAGCTACATGCTAGTGCTGGAGTGTGCTTCCAGCACGTTTCCTAGATGTTTTAAATCATAAACACAGCTGATTTGTTTGAGTTAGTGATGAATCACTCCTGTAGACACTAATGAAGCATTTAGATTAGTGTCAAACGCATGAACACACAGCAAGGACACACACACACACACACACACACACACACACACACGAGCGCACACACACACACACACACACACACACGCACACACACACGCACACACGCACACACACACACACACACACACACACACACTCCAGGTGACACAGAGTCCAGAATGAACCAACCAAGCCACAAACAGCTCTGACAGTTCCAGCCATCAACATCTGTGGTGATCTATATTTGACATTAAAACGTATGTTTAGCTTCCTGTTTTATTTTATTGTCTTGTCTCCTTTCAGGTAACTTCTCTTCCTGTTTGTTTCCCACCTGTAATCACTTCCTGTCACCACCCTAATGGAGATGTCCTCCATCTGGCTTCCCTGTGCAGTTCCTCTTCACCTTTTGTGTAAATCCTTCCATCTTTGGATTTCTTGAAAGTTTTATCTGTCCTAGATCTTCTGTTTTATTGATGGAGTAGATTATAACGCAGGCTGCTGACTCCAGACTGCTAGTCTTACCCTGCTGTGTTTGAACGAGAGCCACATTCCAGACATCTTCCTCTCGTTCCTGCTAAACAGAGTCACTAACTGAAAACCTTCTAATTTTGGTCTACAACTCTTCCCAAACTCGTCTCACATTTCTCCACTCTCTCTCTCACTCATGCAAACCAAACTGGGAAGGATTCCAGACAGCTTCTTGACACCTGCGGCAGCTCTGGGACCGTCTTGAGAAAAATAATGGTCACATATTTTGAATGTGTTCCAAGTTTCAGCAAGGCCTTGAGAGGAAACCAAGAACCTTCGAGAATGTTTGGAGACATTTTGGACCCTCCCTTGAGAATGATGTTCATATTTAGCCACCAGCAGTTGCAGCCCAGTGAGACGGTGGATTAACAACAAAGGAGATTATTGAGAATTAAATTAGGATGAAATCTGTTTAATTTGTCTTGTCTTATTCATAAATGTACCTTTTGTTTGACTCTTTCTCTGGTTAACAACAATATTACGTTCATGTGTTCATTTGAGCGTATTTGTAGTGAGTGAAACTTTAAGCAGAACTGATGGATTGGTGTGTAATTGTGGAGTTGTTGTCGTCGTCTCGTCTTCCTCCGCTTATCCGGGTCCGGGTCGCGGGGGCAGCATCCCAACTAGGGAGCTCCAGGCCGTCCTCTCCCCGGCCACCTCCACCAGCTCCTCCGGCAGGACCCCAAGGCGTTCCCGGACCAGATTGGAGATGTAACCTCTCCAACGTGTCCTGGGTCGACCCGGGGGCCTCCTGCCGGCAGGACATGCCCGAAACACCTCCCCGGGGAGGCGTCCAGGAGGCATCCTGACCAGATGCCCAAACCACCTCAACTGGCTCCTTTCGATCCGGAGGAGCAGCGGTTCTACTCCGAGTTCCTCCCGAATGTCCGAGCTCCTCACCCTTTCTCTAAGGCTGAGCCCGGCCACCCTACGGAGGAAACTCATTTCGGCCGCTTGTATCCGCGATAACCATAGGTGAGGATTGGGACGTAGATCGACCGGTAAATCGAGAGCCTGGCTTTCTGGCTCAGCTCCCTCTTCCCCACGACAGATCGGCTCAGCGTCCGCATCACTGCAGACACCGAACCAATCCGCCTGTCGATCTCCCGATCCCTCCTACCCTCACTCGTGAACAAGACCCCGAGATACTTAAACTCCTCCACTTGAGTAGGACCTCTCCCCCGAAGTTGTTGTTTACTCGAAATTCAGGTTGAAAGAATAATCAGATTTTTTACACTTTTTTAATTTAAATTCATGACTAAAATGATTTAAATGCAAACATTTTTTTCTAAATGAGCCAAGTAATTTAGAAAAAAAATAACGCATTAAACCTCCAGATTTCTATTTCACTTTAATGCCGTGTTAACATGTATAATAAAGCTGACTGTCTTCACTCTTGTTTCAACAATGACTTAAATCTAAACTGCATGTTAGCAGAGGTGAATATTGATCACAACGTTCTGAAATCAGCATCTTTCGTTTCAGTAAAATAAATAAAATTCTAAACAACTGAACAGAAATTGGAGAAAATATTTCAGAATGAAATCATAAATAAAGTAGTGTAACTGAACATTTTCCTCTGAATGGAGCAGAGAGGAGTCACACCGAAGAAAAGAAATGCAGAGAAAATACCAAAAAGCTTCTGAAGTGAGTAAATCCAAAGCTGCAGCCGCTGGAGGAGAAACGCAGCCTGAGAATAAAAACGCTTCTTAC